CTCGATGACATGTGAAAGTCATCCTAACGACCTTACGTAGGTACCTAGGGTTTAACACATGTATATGCGACATAACTACCTACTGCTTTGGCAAGCCTTGTGGGGAGCTTCACCTTCGAATTTCCGAAAAAAAAACTTTCCACAATGTTGTGGAATGAATTAGAAACAAAGCTTTTTTCATTCCACAACTTCTCATGATTTTGTAAAGTGAGCTAACTACAAAGTTTTTATCACTTAAAAAAACCCCAAATATCCCAACACCTCAAAGAAGGGCTGGAAATGCCAAAATAAGGAAAAATTAGGATTCTAACTCGCTTAGGTATAGATCTAAGGCTCATAAGAGAAACTCTCAAAATTTATAGGAATTTGTCCTTTAGGGCTTCTCTAGGAAATCAACGGTCAATGCAAAGGAGTGTGACCATGTCTATTAGTGTCGGTCAACCAACTTGCTTCATGTGGGCGACCAAACCAACAACTCCTAACCAAATCTAGTCATAGGGCTAGCTAAGAAAGAAAACATGAAGGATTTGTGAGAATTTCACCAAATTGGCGTCTGATGTTGCATTTCTTATCGTAGGATGAAGCTCACCAGGTGGTAGGAGAGATGGCGGCGTTTTAATGAAGCTCTAACGAGGTCCACTGTACTCCTTCTCCAATGAATGAATAAGCTCTCCTTTACAAGGAAAGCTCGACAATATTTCAATGAAGATCCAATTGTGCACCGATGATCCTTCTCAAGCTAAGATGAAGCTCTCATTTGGTGTAGAAGAGTAAGCAATTTGCTCTCTTGATAGCCAAGCTCTTCCTCAAGAAGATCTCCTCATGCACTCAAGAAGAATGATGGAGGAAGATAAAGGAGACGAGGAAGAAGAAGTTGAAGAAGATGGAGTTTGGGAGGAGGAGAATAAGTTTTCCCTTCTTTTCTTGAGCTCCCATCAATTTTTTTTTCCACAAAGCTCCAGTTTAGCTATGCACCACCAAGAGGAAGAACCAAAGAAGAAGCAGCCCCCTAGCACTCTCAATCTCTCACAAACCAATCCTAATATTGAAAATGAGTGAGGAGCTGAAATGAGAGGGGAATTGAGAGCTCAAACTAGTCTCCCCATGCAAAATCTCCAACTTTCGCTTTAATTATGCCAATAAAGGCTAATGGAGGCCATATAGGATATGCTAAATAAGGTTAAACTCATAGATTTAACATTCCCCCATGCATATCTCCTCAAACCCAAGAAGATCTCTGCAAATTTCATCTTATGGGGGGTACACTGGGTCAAATTGGTGTGAATATTGTGTACCACGGTCATAGATTTAACATTCCCCCAATATGCCGCTATAGCGTTAGGCCCACGCCTATTATTTTTTGGGGCTCGGGAAAATAGTTGTTTTTTAGCTGTTTTGGGCACTTAGGCGCTTGAGGCTGTCACCTAGATGCCATAATCTTGCGCCAAACTTCTAGGGGCTAATTTTTAGACTTGCAGTAAGGCATTTTAGGCGTCTAGGCACCCAATATTGGCTTCCGTTTAGCCCCAAAACACTGACCTGGGAACGCCCGACAGAGGATTTTCTCTATTGGTAAGTTACGAGAGACTTCATATGAGTGAAATGTAGTCCCACAACTTCAAAATTGAGTATTTTGATCGGTTATTCACTGGGGAAATTGCCACCAACGATCACCCTAAGCCACAACGTGGGTATGGTGTCCCGAACTTTCCTGCAACCTGCATGGGGGGACTCCATGACTTCCCTTTGCCACAGAAGGCTCCATATGGACATGCACTGAATATCTCCCATGTCCAAAATGATAACCTCCGACGGCAAGTTCCCTTAGGTAAGGCTAAATGCCGCCATCTCTAAGTCCATGCCCCAAACAAGTGCTAGAGAGTTTTGGGTGAGTGTCTTGAGCAATTAGATACAATGAAAGAATCATAAACTATCTCGAGTCGTGCAAATGGACATCATACACTCGTGACATCAAAAAGTTATTCCAACTGTAACTATATATAATATAAAGAAATATCTTTTAAATATTTTATAACTTATGTTTGAAATTTTCTTGAATGTTGTTAGTACAATGATTGAACACAATTCAAACAATTCGAACACACTATCAAACCTTATTTGAACCTTTTTGTTTGATAATGTGACTTATAAATTACATTCTTATTGGAATGTGGCTCAAACAACAAATGATTTCAAAATATGTTTGAAGGTTATCCAAATAAGTGTTTTGAAAAAAAAAAAAGAGTACCATACAAATAAGAATAAAATATGATTTGAACAAAATTATATGTTGATCAATTTTCTTATGGAAGATTTATGTACACACCAATCAATTCTTATACGTTTATTTATATACACCTAAACTTCAATTTTTACATGCATGACATCATAACTGTGATGGACACTTAACCCATACATGGAAATGTTTATTTCACTTTTTAAAAGTTAAATTAATGGCATTTTTTATGTGATATAAAAGATTTGAATGATATAAATGTAAAAAAGCCAATTTTAGATGTTAAATATGCATATATATAAGAATTAGATGATATGTGTGTAAATATGTCTGATTTTATACATGTAAATCAAGAATCCAAATTAATGTATTATGCATAGGAGAGCGTTAAAAATGTATTCTAAATAGGAGAATGAAAGAAATGTGACTAATTTGGTTGAATGTTTATCAATAAATAAAACAAATAATCGTGTTCACGGAGAGTGGGCAGAGCAAAAGAAAGGGAAGGAGGTCCTCATATGGAGTTGCACACATGAGCAGTGAGGGAGACTGGAGAATGAGTCGAGTAAACTCCCTTGGTTTTATGTTAAGATTTTTTCTTAAATGACATGCAATTATCCATTCAATGACATCTTTTTATTCTCATATGTATGTCTCTCTCTTCTAAGAAGATATAAATCGTGATTCATTTATGCAAACAACTATGATAAAAAATCAATCAGTTTGCCCTTTTCGATCTGGGCAACGACATGTTCATATTACAAGTAGAAATTGTTAATATTACGTGCACGCGACATGAAAGGCAGATGAAATTATGCGAACCAAGGCTTTGAATAACAATGAATCAAAGGATAATTCAATACTAAAACATCAATCGGAGATCACAGTACTTGCGACGTACCAACAAGTACTAGTAAACAAACAATCATTTGGATTGTGATTTGCTGCACAACTAAATATAATATCATAGAATATATTTTAAATTTCATTTAAAGTTGCATTTGAATTGTGTTTGATCCTTATTAGAATGATAATTGAATTGTATTTGAACATCTTCTAAGGTCTTGACATATCTTATTCAAATTGTCCAAACACAATTTAAATATGATTCAAACATAGTTGGGCTCAAATAATGATAAAAATTAAATGTAGTCAAAATAAGTGTTTAGAACATGATAAAATATCAAATAATTTTTAAATAATATTTTAATGAAGTTTGAATAACATGAAAGTTACACGCTGACCAACATGTATGTAAATGTGAATAAAGGTTTTAACATTCATGCATTTGTATGATCAAGAAAGAAAATAAAATTACCAATTTGATTAGTCATTTACCAAACAAATAGAACAAAAGATTGGCGGTATACAAAAGGTTATTTTTCTAATTTCATAAATCTTGCATGCAAAGTGATGAAAATTAATATAAACTAACATGCCAACAATTTATAATTTCAATTCCTTCCTTTAAGCCATTTTTCTAAACAATATATATATATATATATATATATATATATATATATATAGAATAATGTGCAATATATATATATATATATATATATATATTTAGCACTCATATCTATAAGTGTGTCTATTGATTAAAAAAAATTTAAACTCTAAAATTTTATGCGAACTAAAATTGATTAAAATTAGTCAGTTCATCATAATAATAAATATATATTGTGTGCAAAAACAAGTGTTGTTATACTTTCAAGAAAAAATATGTGTTGTTGATATTCGAATTGATAGAATAAATGATTTTTTATTAAAATATAAGTTTTGATGACAATAAATTTATAAAGTCACCGATGATAAGATTTTAATTAAAGATTAAAATAAATAGCATTATGTTGACTTAAAAAATGTCCCGTGGATCACAAGTAAGTTGTAGAATGTTTAGAGAGAGCAAGTGTGTGCGTGCGTGTGTGCTCACAACAACCCAAGTTCTAAGAGGGTAAATTTAATAGTTCTTCATTGAAAAAATAACCCTATATTAATAGATAATAGGGGTATCCATAAAGTCACATGTTTGTCCATATTTTAATAGGGATGTCACAATTCATTATTACAAGTTTTCATATTCGTACCTACCTCCTAGACCTTTCAATATTCATAACTGATGTTGATACCATTCCATATTCATAACTGCTCATAAAATGTCGATGTTCTCATTTGATCTTTTAAGAGTCATTCGGTCGGCTGAAACCTCTTCAATCAACTGGAATACTTTTGGTCGACCTTCTCAAGAGAATACTCAACAGTCAACAGTGGGCTTCCTGTCTTTAGGGTGAACTTAGATCGTCAGACAAAATGTGTATCACCGTAATCTGATGAGTAACTCTTATTGGACAAGAAACATTCTCAGATGATTAAAAATATATTCAATGGGGGTGCTTTTTAGACATATTTGTGAGAAATCTCGAAAACAATTAGGGGAGCTCTCTTCAAATGACTGTCTCTTTGATCACGTGACTTCCATTCTTTCGTTCAGTTGTGATTTTGTTCGGTTGGCCTATAGTTTCTACCGAAGGAAATCACGCTTGTTGTCTCTACCTTTTACCTCTATGGATGAAATCATTCAATGTTCACGAGGGAGATGTATTGTATTTCCTAAGATTCTTCTAATCATATTTTTTATGTATAAAATAATATTTGATCTTAGGAGCGGATGAGATGGTTGTCCAATAATTTCATATTTTCTTACACTTAAATTTCTCTTGTTGGGAATGACTCGGAAAAAGAAAAAATAAAAATAAAACTTATATGTACACGGCCTGGAGCGTTACTTGAAGAAACCGTCTCTAGCAAGTCTACCAGTTCTGACCATTCCCCCACTTTCCTTCGTCAAACCCTCGATCTCTGCATTTTTCAATTTTTCGCTGTCATCGGTCTCTTGGATTCGAGTAGCGACTAGCGAGGTTAATGATAAGCACCCTAGGGCTCTGATCGGCGGGGAAGGATCAGAAGCCAGAACTGCTGGGAGTTTATGAGCGGTTTCCAGGCGGCGGAGTACATGGATCTCGAAAAGCCTAATCAGTCGGAGGACCCCAAAGGTAGCTTTTCGTCCTCTTGCTCGATCTGCCTTGAATTCGTGCTCGATCGAGGAGAGAGATCAATAGCCAAGCTACAATGTGGCCACGAATTCCATTTAGGTGATGTGCTTTACATCCTCTATTATAGACCTCCGAAATTTATATTTTCTCCGACTAATTTCTGCTGAGAAATCTGCACGCGAGTTGGTCGGAGGATGCCGAAGCTGCAATTTATTTTCTCCGATTACCTGAAAGCAACTGTTTTTGCTATGAGACGTGCTTTTATTTATAGATTCGTTTTTTAGCTCATTCATGCCTATATTTAGGGATTTGTTAGGGCCACTGGTTATTTAGGGTTGTAAATGGATCAGGTTGCGCAATTTGCTGAAAATAAGCTTCTCTTCTATTTAAAGAAAGGGATACCTTTCTATTTATCCAACCATGGTGATATTTTGGTGAGGCTCAGTTGGAAAACTGAAGAAACGCCATTTTTCTCTTTAGTTCATGGGTGCCAAGGAGCCAATCACGATGCATAACAAATCAATATATTGCCCTATGTCTGAGGGGTTATTGGGCTTCTATGTATGAATTTGTGTATGTAGTTATTCAATAGAGCAAGGGATAATTGGGGTTATGTTTTTTCTTATTATTATTAATTTTTTTTTTTTGGGCCCTAGTCATTTATAGTTGAACATGACATAATGTCAAAATAGATGTGTGGTAACATATTGCAAAATTGTTGAGAAATTATGTAGAATGCATGCACTATCACAAGCTGTGGCATATAAAAGATATGTAAGCAGATAAATTTGTAATTTGTATTGAGTTACTTACATCACATAGAATTCCAGGCAAAATGCAGCTTCCACTATGTTCTTATGTGCATGCATTTTTGAAAAAAACAAATGCTCTTTCGAGTCGCAGGGTTCTCGTTTCTGTGCTGTAAAATCAGTTTTTTTAAGCAGTTGATACTGATATTTTAAGTTGGATACTTTGCTGGACATTTTAAGATTGTATTTATGAGCTAAAAAACATAAACTTTCAAACTGTTAATTTTCTTACGTTTATCTGAGTATAGAAAAACCATGTAGATATATTCATTTGGAATGCTTCTTCGGAATGTTAAGAAGTTGCCATGAAATCATTTCTGTCTGATAATCAAATAAAATGTTACTTAATTGCTATTTTTAATTGAGCATTTTATTTTATTTTCTTATTCATTCTAAAGAATTCTATAAACTATAAAGTGGGATGCTAGAAATTTTGATGTGATAAAAGTGCACTTTGGAAATATAATGATATATATTATTTGAAGGTAATGAATGCTAAGTCTGGATATTTAAGCTTTTGAATTGGAGATTTGGAAAATATGATTAATATGATTTCATTGACTTCTTCAGAAAAAAATGAATATAAGTGGAAAATCACATTGACGATCATTCTATTTATATGCATTCTTTTTTGGCAAACTCGTTTTATGACTAAGTGGTTGAACACATGTATGCATTAATTAGTCATGAAAGTTCTATGCAGTACCACTTTCATATTTATGCACGGAAGGTACAGTTAGGAATTTTAAGTAAGAAACATATTTGGATGAGCATAATGAATGGAATGATAGTGTAGCTTATGATTACTCAGAGAAATCAAGTAATTAAATGAAGTCTTTTTTAGAATTGTACAGATGTAAAGCTTCAATACCTAATGAAATCTAGAAGGTTACTGGTGATATTGGAGAACTTTGTTTAATACATACTTTTATAAAGACTAACATGATTTCAATTGATTGAAGAAGGACATTTTAGTGCTAGGATTCAGGAACTTTAATACATACTTTTATAAAGACTAACATGGTTTCAATTGATTGAAGAAGGAACATGTTGGTGCTAGGGTTCAGGATCAAAGAATATGCAAATTATTAATGGTAATCATAAGAGAATGAAATTTATAGGACGATTATTGAATTTATAGGAGAGCGTAGTGGAACAAAACTAAGAAGGTACATATGTTGATGATATCTATGATAAGGAAAATAATGTAAACATATGAAGCTCAAAAACACGATCATATCAAATTTTTGGATTTTGATAAGGTATATAATAAAACATTATGATAATTGATTTGATGCATATTAAGGGGAAAACGTCAATGCAAAATATGTGTTGAGATTTATAAAGATATGTATGATTGGCTTGATCGTTATTATGATTAATTGTGGAGTGTGACCAAATAGACTCCAGTCACATTTAAAATATATTATTGATTAAACATCAAATTTATAGTCTTCTATTGAATCTGTGTTTTTATTAAATTTGTGAAATGAAGTTGCATGATGTACACTTTTTCTAGATTATATAGTTTTGATTTTTTTTGACATTTGGTAAATTAAATTAGAAGTTTGAATAATGAAAATATTTAGAAGATGAAGAGCTCAGGCTTAATAAAACTTAGATGGTGTTTTTGAACTGTATTTTTTGTTGGATTTGTTTTAATTATCAACCAGTACTAAAAGTTAAAGAGATACCTATGCTTAAGTTATTGCATAGAAAATTGTTAATATATTCGATATTATGGAGAAGTGCCTTAGTGCCTCTTAAGATTATAAGATTTAAGCTATTCTAGCTATCTTGTTTATGCTTGATTGTCAGGTGGTAACGAAGTCATTAATAATTAAGATGAGTGTGATAAAAATTAAAATGATAAAATGGATATATGGCAAAATTAGAAAGAATAAATTGAGAAATGATTATTTTAGGGGAGGATAGGAGCATAAAATATGGAAGATAAATTAGTGAAAAATTGACTTCAATAACTTGTTCTCGAACAATTGGTCTAGGATCGTTACGTGCTATTGAAGATCATTACATGATCATATTTATTTGAGAGCATCCTAGTTATTATTTAATGTTCATGTATTTCACTTTGAATGAATTGTTGAATGACAAGCTTTTAAAGCACTTTCTTTTTATTCTCTCCTTAGTCAACAACTATTTTTGCATGAACCCTAATCCCATCCACCTTTCCCCTCTTCGAGTCGTATTCCACTTCAACCCTAAATATCTCATACCACTTTGTCGGTCAACTTTTCGATGGATTTTTGAAAATTATTTTTAAATGTAAATTTAATATATAAGAGGTACATAGTTTGAGTTTTGAAAGTAGTGTGTTTTAAGTTTTGAAAATGAGATCGAATGGATCTCATTCATCCAAAAGTTTACATAATCGTGCCTGATACCGAAAATATTGCACTTTCCCGAAAGAAGTGTATATCTCGGCGATGGACCCAATCCTGCAAACTAAGAGATTTGTGACATCCGTTTGGTCTGTGAACTTTTTATATGTGACTGACAAGTTCCCCTACCTAATTTAAAGATTATATAGGGTTTATTTTACCTGGATTTCACTTGAGAAAACTCTCGATAATGATCAGATGTACTTGTCTTCAAGAATTTAAAGTTTATGTTTTCATGGTAGGATATGGAAAAGCAAGTGAGAGTGATTCAAATAGAAATAATTGTTTTAAAGAGTCCAAATGAAGAAAAATGTAGGGGATGTCACAAATCCTGAGGAGAAACCTCGGTGACTTCTCAAACTATCATAATGTATGATTGTGTTTTGGGGACGATGTTATTTAAGTGTTTAATCCTGCTAATTTTATTATTTGAGATTTATATTTGCATAATATTCGATTATGCAAATATCCCGCAGATATAGGGGGTTTACATCGTACCAGACTATAACCTCGGAACCTAAGGTGAGTTAGGACTTACGATGCACAATATGGTTGTACAAGAGCCTAAAGAGGGTGTAAGGATTTACGTTGCGTTGGGCGAGCTACATCGAAATCCTATGGATTGTTATTTAGACTAAGGAAAGAGAAATTGTTGAAGAAGATCCTCTTGTTGCTCGATCTAAGTTCCTTGCTGTTCTACCCACAAAGCTGGCTCCAAGTTCCTCGTCGAACTAGCAGTCCTAAAGTCTAAGGCTCAAAAGGTTTTACTAGGTGTGCTTCAAGTTTTGGTTTTGTTGTCATTATAGAGTGTTAAAACTGATTAGAGCGACACCGGTTAGGGTCCTACGGTTTCCTCGTTCTGGTACCACTATTTTATTCTGAACTTACTTAGCTTGAATGAGTTGTGAAACCCATTTAAACTAGGGAGATCTTGTTAGCAACCGTGGGTTACCTCTTCTGAGAGACTCCCGTAAATTCAAAAGTACGTGTTATGTTTTTGTTTTCGTTATTTTTTTTATTTGAAAATATTGTTTAATTGAAAAAGTTGTTTAATTAAAAAAAATGTTTTGTTTTGAAAATAAAATTGCAATCAATGTCTGCATAATGTGTTAGAGCAAGAGTAAATTGCAATGGTAAAAAAACAACAAATAAAATGTACATGTGTACGTGATGTATCTGCTGTTGCTATCCCTGTTGCATGTTTAGCTCACAAAACATAATATAATTTGTAAGGAATTTAAATAAATTGTAGAGAAAAAAAACAATAAGTAGCAGAACAAGTCGTAACAACAGTTAGGAACTCAAAACAGGTGATCCTAAGGTTTCCTACAACTCCAGACTGCAATTAGCGAGCTAGTATAGTGATCAAGATCTCTTACGTCTCTGAGCAACAACTAACAAGTGTGTATGGTGATCCTACGACTTCGGACAGCAGCTAAGAACCTCGAATAACACCTGTATGACTTCCTACGAACTCAAACAACGATTGACGACACCTATGTGGCCTCCTACGAATCCAAACAATGGTGGGCAACAACTATGTGGTCTCCTACGAACCCAAACAACGGTGGGCAACACCTATGTGGCCTCCTACGAACTCAAACAACAGCGGGCAACACATATGTGGCCTCTTACGAACCCAAACAGTGACGGACAACACCTATGTGGCCTTCTACGAACCCAAACAGCGGGGGCAGCACCTATGTGGTCTCTTATGAATCCAAACAACTGTGGGCAGCACCTATGTGGCATCCTACGAATCCAAATAGCGGTGGGCAACACATATGTGGCTTCCTACGAACCCAAACAACGGTGGGCAGCACCTATGCGACATCCTACGAATCCAAATAGTGGTGGGCAACACCTATGCGACATCCTATGAATCCAA